TCTGAAGATATATATGTTTCTCTCAGCGCAAATGAATATAATTTTATAATTATACCGTAATATTAAAGTTAAATGTATTATAATGTGAGAAGGATTAACTTTATTATTATATATGTATGTATATATATATATATATATATATATATATATATATATTATAAATTAAGTATAAATATAATTAGAATATATCTCTTAATTTTATATATACAAATTACAAACAGAACTAGTGTAATATAGCATTGAGGCCTCTTTAGACGATCTATAATTCGCGACAAAATTCAAGACAGAATTTTATTTACAATTTTATACGTCACATATTTTAATATATACGCATATTTTGATACATAGTTTTATTTGTAAGTATTTTACGTAAATGTTTCTATACTACACGACACATATAATTCATCACAAATTACAATCCATCTTTCTTGCCAGCGTGAGGGCAATTTGTATATCCCTTTTTCGAAAAATGTTTTATCTTTTGATGCGAAAAATTGAACCAGTGCTTGTTTGATATCTTCTTCATTTTTGAATTTTTTGCCCCTCAAAAAATTTTGTAAGGACAAAAACAAGTGATAGTCGGTGGGTGCTAAGTCCGGGGAATATGGTGGATGCGACAGAATTTTCCAGCCTAGTTCTGCAATTTTTTGACGAGTATCCAAAGCAGCATGTGGCCTGGCATTATCATGATGCAGTATGATGTTCTTCCTATTGTACATCGCCGGCCTCTTTTCTTGGACTGCTGTATTTAAATTATCCAGTTGCTGACAATACTTCTCCGAATAATGGCAATTACATTATTTAATAAAGTTTATTGACGGTAATAAAAATTTGTATTTTGTTTTATTCCAAAAACGGACAGAACTTTCCGGTAGACCTGATATAATTCATTATTTGCTCGAAAATTAAGCTTTAGAAAAAATATTTTTCTATTTTTTATTTTAGGCGTCACATATATCACTACTTGTCATACCGGTCTTATGTATCTACCAGCGTCCATTGTCTGTTAGCTTATTACTCGCTTTACTCCGTAAGCGCAAACTGCAATTATTTTTAATATCTTTATGGAAATATTAGTCATAGGTCGTATCTTATAATACGCGCTAATAATTGTAATTAAAAGGATCATAAATATAAGAGGATGATGCACTTCCTTCTGCGATAGAATGCTCGCCGAGGAATTCCCACGCTGTAACCCCTGATAGAACGAGACTGATACACGCAATTAATAAAATAATCTCGCAATTTATCTTATTTCTATACACATACACGGAAAAGAAATGTAAATCCAAAAAATTTTTTTTTGGTTTAAACAAATTATTTATTTAAATATTTGCAAAGAAATTAGTTATTTCAATCAAGCAGCAAATATATTTGAATTAGTACAATATAAAATAAAAGCAAAGTATGCTTTTATTTGTAAATAAAAAGAAGGATTTGTCTTTTTATCTTTATTATACTAAATTACTTCTTTTACAAAAACATTTTTTAAATTTTTAGCTGCTTGTTTCAAAAACACAGATTTTCTTTATTTTAATAAATAATTTTTTATCTTTTCTTATACTAGTGTAATATAGCATTGAGGCCTCTTTAGACGATCTATAATTCGCGACAAAATTCAAGACAGAATTTTATTTACAATTTTATACGTCACATATTTTAATATATACGCATATTTTGATACATAGTTTTATTTGTAAGTATTTTACGTAAATGTTTCTATACTACACGACACATATAATTTAATAAATAAAATTCTGTCTTGTGGATTTTATCGCGAATTATAGATCGTTTAAAAAGGCCTTTAATTTATAAATATTGGATATGTATACAAAAGATTAGATAAATATCCGAGAAAAGATGAACTTATGTAATTATTTAAGATCACATCCAAAATTTGACACGATGTATGATCTAGTCAAATATAATAATATCCGAAATAGCGCGATATGATCTTATCTTTATATAATCATATTCAGCTAAATCTGATTATATATTAAAACAGATCTTGTGCGAATATGATTATATGAAGATAAGATATTGCGTCATAAAGAAGGATGTCCAGATCATATGGGAAACAGCCTATGGCGCTACATAAAAATAAACTGTAGCAGTCGATACGGTGCAGCAAATAGATCAAACATTTCAATAAACACAATTTTGAAAACGCCGTCATCACAAATTACAATCCATCTAAAAAAAAAAACAATTTTTGGGGTACAACTCTGCTTCTCCAAATCGTATTATAAATCGTAATTATAGTAACACCTCCTTAAGGAAAAGATCAAGGAAACTAGCCGCTTGTAATCTTGACGTTCATCGTGGCTTAAAAGTTACACTCCTTTAGAGATTATAGCCAGCCAAAGCTAGATCCTTAGACAATTGCTTATAAATCTAATAAAGGTAAAATATATATTATATAATATATATATTGAGTGATGGTCTATATACATATCACACCGCTATAAGCGAAAATCGCCGCAATGATTGTAACATAGATTTTCCATACACGAAGTCAGAATTTTGGACTAAAAATTTTAAACTAATACAAAGATTCATAAATACGGTCATGATAATAAAATCGACCATGTTGTGCTCTTTTATACGAGTAGAAAAACGAAAAGTTGTCACGCATATAAGCAGAGTTATAGCCAAAAAAAAAAACAGTTTTAAAAAA